GGGCCAACGGGTCACCAAGGTCAGCGCCAGCGAGGCGGCGGTTTTTTGCTGGAAAGGTGCTAGGCAGGGCGAAGGGATGGCCGTGCTTCGGTGATGACCCACTGTGTGTCTATACAGAGGAAAGGTTAGTGGGATCCAAGGGGAGTCGCCATTGTTCCTGGTTTCATGATGCTGAGCTGCACTGAGTGGCTCCATGTGTGCGACATTGATAACGCACTGACCATTGCAGTTTTCCTTCCAAGAGGTGACCAATGACCCCAGAATATCCAACCATAATGTACATAATATTGTTTGTTCCTTCCGGCATGTCTCGGTCCCTTCACCTGAAGTCCTTTCTAGCCAAGCTGCTTTCTGAGCTGAACCGAGCGTAGGGAGGCATTCTGGTTTGAAAGCCGTGATGTTGCGATCAGGTGTGCCTCTATTCAAGTTGGATGTTGGATGGCAGTTCAGGTCTTTGGTGCTGAGCGCTTCGCAGTTTCAGCACATTCTGAATGATGCCGGGCGGACCAGTGAGGTCTTTATGCGTCATTCGGGGCATGCATTGTCCTTGTTGTCCGGGACGCGTCGTGGGATGATCCTGCAAGACTTTTGCCGAAAGGAGCTGGCACGGCTACATCCACACAGCAAAATCGAGGAGCCTCTCCGAAGCACTTGTTGCAACGGGGCTCGAAGGTCCGCTTCACAGGCGGAGTATGACTTTGGTATGGATGCCCGCAAGGTGAAATGCAGAAGTGCACAGATGTCATGGAACAGGGCTATGATGCGTTGGCGCGTTCTTTTTCCCAAAGTCAAGCTGCCGCGGTCAGGTTTTTGGGATGAGGCTGCATTTGATGATTTGTATCTCACAATCTTCAGCCCAAATAGTTTGCACATTATCAAGCATGACCTTCAGACCGGAGTCTCCACAGTTGGCAAGCAAACAGAAAGCCATGGTCATCAGATTTCCGTTCAAGGCACGCGGGGGCAAGAATGTTGGCAAACGGCGCGGCATCACATCCTGAACAGGTTCCTGACAAAAGGCTGCGAACTCGTGTCTTCGGTGGATTTGTCAGCAGTTGAAGTCAGCAACTGGCTGACACAGCAAATCGAAGGACTGAGAGCACCACAGGACCTCGCATACCAGGGGGTGCCATTGAACTATATGGCGCCACAGCTACGCGGCTTGCGGATTCAAGCGGCGGCATTTGAAGTGGATCAAATTCTACATCCCAATTGTTCATTTTCACGCTCTTGTTCGGATATAGACTGGTTTCGTGGAGCGGTGAGAGTGGAATTGAAGAGCGGCCAAATGTGCTACAACAAAGTGCAAAGGCGTTGGCGATGTTCTTTCCAGAACATCAAGTGTGAATGCCAAGCTGCTCGTGATCACGACCTGTTTGATGAGCTGTGGCTTGCCATCTACAGTCCACTCGGCATTCACAATTTGAAGCATCCTGGTGGTCAAGTCCGTTTCAGCATGACAGGTTTGAATCAGCAGGTTTTTGGGCAACAGATAAACGTCTATTCCAGCCGCAATGTGCTTGACGTCAGGGAGGCCCTTGACGAAATGCTCCAGAAGATGGAGGCATGGGGCTGTCAACCTCTTGCAACTATTCTTTGGTGATTTCATGGCTCTGCAACTCTG